AGAATGACCACTAGCCTTCCTAGTGAAAAATTTCTTTTTTGGTAGAACCGGGGATTGAACTCAGGCCTTTGCACTTGCCAGGGAAGCACTTATTCCACTGAACCATCTCCCCGAAAAGTTTCTTGAAACATTGTCATGAGTGCAGTTTTAATCAGAGACCAGACTTTTCTTTGTTACAACAGTCTGAGCCATCCAGACAGAAGTTATTATATGTGTAATAAATAGATTTGAGCTTATCTGCTCATTTGGAAGTCATCGGTACTGAGTTAAGGTACAGAATGCTAGAGCACACATTTCTTAGTAGGAACTAGTAACATGCTTGAAAATCTTAATATACATATTACTCTGAACATTAATATAAACTGTTTAAATTTGTGAGGCTGTTTGTCAGCTTAGTGGTATATTAATTTTAGTTGTTTGCCGTTGAAAAGTAAGTCCTATTCTCCATCTCTACCTTTTTTGTAATCATTTGTTTGTTTGTTGTGGTTTTCATAGACCCTGTTGGAAACAACAACCAGCCTTCTAAACCAAGATCTCCATTGGTCATTATGTAACCTAAGAGCTTCTGTCACTAGAGGACTGAATCCCAAACAGGATTATTGCTCCATATGTTTGCAACAGTACAAGAGACACCAAGAAATGGCTGATGAAATTATTGTTTTTAGGTAAGTGAGGGAAGGAAATGTTATCTGCAGGGTGTGTGTATACATGTGAGGTTGCCAAGTGTGTATACAGCCCCAGTTAGATTTACACAGTGAACCAAGCAGGAAAATTTCTTTTGCCATGGTCCTTATTTTGCACAGGGACAGAGAAAGGTGAGAATGCTCAGGTATAGGTAAATACAGAGTAATAACAGCTATGATGAAAAATAAAACACAGAGCAGGAGGCCAGAAGGAAGAGGTATTCTGCGTAAGATTTCTTTCTTTCTTTTTTTTTTTTTTTTTTTTTTTTTGGTGGAACTGGGGATTGAACTCAGGCCCTTGCTCTTGCCAGGGACGTGCTTGTTCTACTGAGCCTTCTCCCCAGCCCCAAGATTTTTTTTTTTAAGAAGGCATAGCGAGGGAATTTTCTGAGAAGATAACATTTGGGTGGAACTGAGAGAGGTAGGAGGGACAGGTGCAATGAGGTGTTTGACCCAGAATGTATCTTAAGGCTAGAGTTAACTTGCTGGGGTATTGGGTATGGAGCAATGGGAGGAGGAACACAGTCTTTGGCTGAGCACCTGGGTGTGGTCCTCTTGCCAGAGATTAGGAGAAACTGCAAGAAACAGGAGTGATCATTAGCTTTGTCTTATGAAGGTTAGGTTAGGTTAGGTTAGGTTAGGTTAGGTTAGGTTAGGTTAGAGGAGGCTGTTAGACATCCAAGTCAGGTTGTCTGGTGAACATCCAAGTCAGAAATCTGGGGCCCTCTTGGAGCTTGAAATGTAGATTTAGCAATTATCGGCATATTAGTGATAGTTGAGTAATGGGGCTATTCACAGGAGCAAAGACAGCTCATGTGATACATGGGTAGAGAACACAGGATGGGTGCTCTGGAGCCAAACTTCTTTTAGGCAGGAATTCTTATGCAGACGCCTCTTCCTTCAAACTTCTTGAGTTCAAATCGTGACTGTGCCAGCTGTGAGACCTTAGTTAATAAATCTTTCCATATATTAGTTTCCTCATCCGTAAATTCAAATGGTAATATTACATGCATTGTAGGGTTGCATGGAGATTAAGAAGCTCAGGTAAGGCACTGTGAACAGTACCTGGCGTAAAGAAGCCCTATGCAGATGTTAAGTATGCAGGAAGGTTGGTAGATTTGGAGGTTCAAGAGAAAGCAACTCTCATCACACACAGAACTAATCAGTCAAGAGGTGTTTATTAAGCATTTGCTATATATCCCAAGTACTGTTCTAGGGGATAGGAGATGGTATGAATGAAACAGAGAAAGTGGGATTTATATTCTAGGAACAGGACCAGACAGTGAAGAAATAAAGTGCCAGATAGCAATAACTACTATGGAAAACGAATCAGACATGTGGAGGGACATATAGAGGATTTGGGGTCTGCATAGTTTATATGCAGGAATGACTCACTGTTAAAGTAACTTATGAACAATTTAGAAAATTATAAATTAACAAAAATGTAATTATAGGTAAACTCATAAAAGTAAAACTTGGTAAAGAGGAGAGAATGAGAACTACTCTAATTTATGAAGAGTAGTCAGAGATGCTGCATTTAAGTGACATTTGAGTAGCAGTAAGAGACCTAAGGAAGTATCTGTGCAGTTTCAGGGGACAGTGGCCCAGGAAAGGAACAGTGAATGTGGAGACAATGTGGCAGCACCATTCCTGGCACCCTTGAGGGGCAGGAGTGAGTGACTGGTGGGTTTGAGCATAAAGAAAGAATGGGAAGACTGGGCATGGTATAATCCCAGCATTTGAAAGGCTGAACACAGGAGGAGCACTACGAGTTCGATCTGTGTAGTGAGACCCTGTAGACCCTATACTAAATACATTTAAGAAAGAGAGAGAGAAGCATAGGCCAAATCATGTAGGACATGTGTCATTATAAGAAGTCATGTTTCTGCTTGGAGATAAAAAGCCGCTGGGTAGCTTTGGAGGGGAAGAGTGACATGATCTGGTTTACACCTTAAAAGTCAATCTATCTGCTGTATTGGGAATGTCCTGTGGCTGGACTAGGGAAAGGAGAGTGCCCAGTTAGGCTGTTGCAGTAGACCATGTGAGAGATAAGAGAAAAGTCAGTGGAATGATTCTGGACATATTCTGAAAGTAGAACTCCTAGGGTTTGGCTATAGGTTGGATGTGGAGTGTGAAAGGAAGAGGACAGTCAAAGATGACTCTAAAGTTTTGTGCCTGAGCCGGGTGTAGTGGTGCACACATGTAATCCCAGCACTCAGGAGGTTGAGGCAGGGGGATCATTGCAAGCTCAAGACCAGCCTGGCCTAGAAAGTGAGCTCAAGGACAGTCTGAGCTGTGTAGAGAGACCTTGTTTCAACAAAAAGAAAAGGAAACACACACACACACACACACACACACACACACACACACACACACAGAGTTTTGGGCCTGAGACACTGAAGAATGTAGTTCCCATTTATTGAGATGTAAAAGATTGGATGCAAGCATGTGGTGAAGATGGAGTAGGGTAGAAATAAGCGTGGTTTTGGTCCTGTTAGACTTACAGTGTCTATTAGATGTCCAAAGTAGATTTCTTAAGGAAGTAAGAAAGGCTTAGCACAGAGGTCAGGGTTAAGGGTTTAAATTTGGTAGACAAAAGCATTTAGGTGCTATGTTAAGGCTTTGTAACTGGAAGTAATCTCTGCGAGAGCAGGGAAGGTAGAGAAAAGACATGGGTTGTATAGAGAATGGAAAAGTGTAGAGAAAGGGAAGAATGTAAAGATTATAGTAGAGAAAAGGATTGACTTCTGGGCTAGTCCAACATCTTAGGTTGGAGAAAGGAAGAGGAGCCAGTGAAGATGTCTGAAAGTTAGGCTCCGTGTTCAACCTCTGCAAGGCACAGTAGTTTAATGTAAACAACAGGGGCTTTCTTCATAGTATTCTGAAAATTTACAAGAGCAATGACATTTTCTCAGTGTTTCATCAAGCCATAATTCTTACATTGAGTTTGATGAGGCAGACCACTCATGTTGTTATCAAGCTACTTACATAATTATGATTTTCTTCCAATTGCCTTTTTATTTCACACTGCCTAAAAATACTGCCAAAATTTCCTAGCTTAAGAATGAACAGAAGTTCAACTCATCTCAAGGTGGTTTGTAGTCAGAAAATTCTGATTCTGTTCCTCCCCACAACATAAAGATGCAGATAGAGAGCTGGTATTTTTTAAGAGGACAGCAGTAAGTATATTCCTTTTATGCTCCTTCCCCTATTCAGCCAACAGGACATTGTAGCTTGTTAGAAACTTTTCCTGAAGGTAAGTACACTCTTATCAGTTTATGGTTCTTGAATTGTTGCTTTCATTTCACAGCTGTGGCCATTTGTATCATTCATTCTGTCTACAAAGCAAAGAATGCACTGTAGAAATTGAGGGCCAGACGAGATGGACATGCTACAAATGCAGCTCCAGTAACAAAGTGGGAAAACTAAGTGAAAATTCATCAGAAATTAAAAGAGGAAGGATAATTCCATCACAGGTAAGTCTTATTTCAGTGGTCATTTCTTGCCAAGGTTTTTTAGTCCTGGCCTCATTTTTTCCCAACCTGTGGTTCTCCGACTATTTACCCGATAGTTGTTGAATGCATGCTTAGTCCTATTTAGTGTCTTGAGAGCCTCTCCTCTCTGCTTAGCATGGAAAGACATTGGCTGACCTTGAGAAGCATGAACTCTAGTTGATCAGAGAAGATGTAAACACGTGAGTCTATTTTTCAAAACCTTGACGGAGTACCCAGTCAGCACGTGCAGATGAGTACTTGCGGTACTAATGAGTGCCTGTATGCCCGAGAGTGCACATCAGCTCTTCTGTAGGCCTGATCCTGGACAGGTGCGCACCCGTGTACTCTTGCATAGTCTTCTCAATTAGATTACTTGCTTGAAAGAATTTAGCACAATATTTAGCTTTCTATTGCATTTGGAATCTAACAGACTAGATTTTTATTTCTTTTACAGCACTTTTTTAAAAGGTGGTAGAGCAGAGTTTGAAATCCGTTGCTTAATACCTTCTAGGAGAACAGCACTTGGCAACATGAAGGGCTTCTTGTGAAGAACTTAGTAGGCCTGTGACTTGATGGTTGTGTAGTGATCAGCAGTGCTGCTGCTTTAAGGAGTAGCACATTTGCTGCATCTCACCCCTCCCTGCACTATCCTGAAGTTAACCATTGCATCACATAGTGAAGAGGTAGACCTGTTACTCCATTTTGGTTCCATCAGCTTGTATTGTAAGCAGAGCCAGGAAAGACCCATGACCAGCTGCTGACTGGCTCTGCACTCTAGTGGGAGGCGTTCCATTTGTATGTTCACCCATTATGTGTTGAACAGCATGCCAGGCACTGTGCTAGGTGCTAAGGATCTAGTGGTAGCCAAGATAAACATGTAGAGCTCTCAGTCTGTGAAATTACACACAGGTATTGACTATGAGACTCTTAAGTTCTAACTCCAAATATGTGCTATCTTTTCCAACATCAATTCCTAAACACTTCCTGTCAACTCTCTGAACACCAACTGAGTGACCAGCAATTCAGTTCTCATACTACCTGAAGTTAGAGATTTAATGATTTATGGGTTCAGACCCATAAGATTACCTTCATGTGAGATAATATTCATAAATAGAATTGTGCAACCCAACTTCAAATTCAGGAGTCCCCAAGAGCCCCCCAGTAGGGGGCTAGCATAACACTATATATACATATTTTTTAATATGTATTTATAAGTTTACAATAAAGGGTGCAACTCAACAGCAACCAATGAAAGAGATACAGCAAAGGCTCAAATGGGCATGAGGAGTAGCAGAGATTCCATCCCTTCTCAAGGCCCACACTTTCCTGGCACTGTCAATGTCTCCAACCCTGAAGCTCCTCAGACCCCATTATTTAGAGGTTTCAATATGTGTCAATGTTTGATTAAATCATTGAGCCTGAACTCAATTTTCAGCCCTCTCCCTACTCAGAGAGGTCTGGGGTAGAGCTGAAAGTTTGAAACCCTTACTCGTGCACGGTCTTTCTGGCAACCAGATCTTACCCTGAAGCTGTCTAGTAATCCCTAGCCACCATTCATCTCATTAGCAAACAAAGAGGACTCTTACCACTCAAGAGATTCCAAGAGTTTTAAAAGCTCTGTGCCAGGGACCTGGGACCAGGTCCAAGTATATATATTTTTTATGGCACCCCAAGCACTAACAGATGAACTGTGCAATAAGAGTGCATAATAAGTATGCCCAAACCAGACTGAAGGGATCATGGAAGGCTTTCTGGAAGTTTCATGTTAGCTGCCTCTGAGACATAAAAAGGAGTGAGCAAGACAAGCTTAGGTGCAAGGGTGGGCGCAAGAAAGAGTGTTGCAGGCAGATGGAACGATGTGTGAAACAAGAATCATCAGTGCCATGAAGCAGCAAGAAGCATGGGACAAGAGACTGAGCATGATGGAGTCGGGAGGACAGAAGATGAGGATGCGCAAGAGGAGGCTGCAGAGGAAATCAAGAGCCTTAGTAATTATTTTGATGTTTGTGCTAGAAGAACAAGGAAGAGACAGAAATGTTTTAAGGAAGACATGTTAAGATCTGATCAGAATTTCTTGGGCTCCCACCCTAGAATAGTACAGTATATTTAAAAGAACAATCAAATGAACTGAAATGGAAACAAGAGTGAATATAGGGAGAGCAGAGATTATTGATGTCTTCAGAGAAGAGCAGTGGTAAGAGATGCTATGTGTAAGGAGAAGATTTTCACAACTTGATAAGTTAATTTGTTGAATGGAAGAGGAAAGACCAAGGGAGGAGTCAAAGAGAGCACCCAGATTTCTTTATTAAGCAACTGCCTGTATGCCGGCATTCTTTTCTAAGAAAAGCAATCAACAACAGATTTGGGAGTAAGATAGAGAATTCATTGTTGGAGTTGAAAGTGTCTGTAAGGCTTAAAGGTATTTGGGATGATCTCTAGACTGAATATTTCACTAGTCATCAGAAACACTTTCTTATTTGCATTCAGAAAAGGAAAAACACGTCCTGTGATTTCCAGTATATTCTAGACTATATCCAGATGCAAGTGGGTGAACTTTTTAAAAATGCAAATACTTAAAGCATTATATTTTGGGACTCTATTTTTTCTTTTCCTTAGTTTTTTTCCATTCACTAATGAACTCATAATAACTTATGTCTTATTGCCTTATGTATATTATCATATATTATGTATATTACCAGTTAGATAATTTTTTTTCTTCACAGGTAAAACCAGAACTAAGGCAGATTTTTTTTCTTTCTTCTTAAAAAATATTTTGTAATCATAAAATTCACCTTCTGTGAATTTTGACAGCTGCCTCCACGGTCAAGGCCACTATTATTACTGCACTCAAAAGCCTCCCACATCTCTTGGCAACCACAAGAGATCCATTTTGAGTTAATTCTTATAGAGAATGTGGATGTCCATTGCCTTTTACTCTATTCAAAACTCATTTTACCAAGTATATGTGGGTTTATTTCTAAACTTGCTGTTCTGTTCCACTGATCGATCAGTCTTTTCTCTAGTATTGTAGCTTTATAGAAAATCAGGTAGTATGCATCCTTCAGTTTTGTTCTTTCCAAGTTTAACCTTGCTACTTCTATTGCCTTTCTTTAAAGGACTGGGGCTATAATGTGTAGTGGTAGAGTACTTGCCTGGTATGTACACGGCCGTAGGTTGAAGTCCCACTAGACTAGGAGAGCGAGGCAGAGAGACAGGCAGGCAGGCAGGCAGGCAGGCAGACAGACAGAGGCACACACACACACACACACACACACACACACACACACAGAGACAGAGACAGAGACAGAGATTGTAGCTCAGAGAAGAAGGGTCAGTATTTGCACAGAAGTTCATAGGACTCTGTTTTCCTGCTATCAGTTTATACTGTTTTTGTCATCCTGACTTTATTAAAACCTGATAAATCTATGCCATATTGACAGTGCTAATTAAGATGTCTCACCACTGTGAGAACCATTCACATATCAATTATAAGAAATTTTAAAATAAAAATATTAATTCTGTAGTATGATGGCTTTCATTAAACTTTATTCCATGAAGCTTTACTTTGCTCTTAATTTCCTTTGAAAATCTGTTGGAGGGGCCTGGGAGATAGCTCAGTAGAATAAGTACTTGCTTGGCAAGCATAAGGGCCTGAGTTCAATCCCCGGTTCTGCAAAAAATAAAATAAAAGAGAGAGAGAGAAAAAGAAAGAAAATCTGTTGGCACTGTTAGGTTCCCACATAGCATGATGGGAATCCAGGGAGGCCCCCAGGGACTCAGACACCCAGCTGCCATGGCCAGTCAGCTACCCTGTGTTCCCTCTACACTCAGAAGATAGGGAATGCATTTGAGGCATATCACTACTTTTGCAATGTGATCTTTCTTTCAAATAGCTTTTTATTTCATCTTTTTCCTAGACTTATGACAATGATAGCCTTTTACTTCTTCAATTTCTGGTTATACCTCAGCAGGTTGCAACTTTTATCCTCAGAACTGAGGTCTTGGTAGATGAAGCCCTTTTTTCATTCCTTCTCACTCACTTTTTCGTCACCTCAATACATAGTGTATATGTATATAGAATATCATGTCTGCATCTTGTACAGCAAATAACCACTAAGAAGAGAGTATGCTGTGTGTTAATTATTGAAACTGTCATACCATTTGATTTGAAACTGTCTCATTGCTATTTGCCTCTCAATAAAATTATGGAAAAAAATAAAAAATACATAGTGTATAACACTGTGTACTAACAACTGACATAACCACTGCCTGCCAGCAAGTTTACCGGTTATAATGGGAGCCGTTCCCTCAGGATACTTTAATTTTGTACAAATGGGAGAAATGACCCAAGTGACTTTCCTTCCTCCCCAGCCCCATTCCCTAGACTTAAAGTCGTTTAGTCTGAAATTTGCAGTCATAAGAGAAGACCTTGCGGATCTAAGTGTCTTTTTCCTTCCTATACATATTACCCACATATAAATGCACAGGAGAAACTAACTTCTGGTGAAGCATTCAAGGTTCTGTGTATTTTCTCAATAAATGTTAGGTGATATTTTTCATCTTCTATTATAACTTTACTAGATTCATAGTAGCAAATAACTGTCTTCACTGGCCTTAATAAACATTAAAAGAAATTAAAGTGTTAGGAAATTTTTTTTAAAAACAATGTTGTTCAGTAGGCAACTTAGTGTAAATTCAAGGAAAACTTAAAATTTAGTAGATTTCCATTTATGGACTGGGGAGATAGTTCAGTGGTCTAAGTGCCTTCTTGGCAAGCACAAGGACTTGGTTTGATCCCTGGCACCACATGCCATGCCAGCTCCAGAACCCCAGGTGCACTGTGCCCAAAAACAGGGCATGGTAATGCACACTTGTAATCCCAGCACTGGGGAGGCTGAGACAGGAGGATCACTACAAGTCTGAGCTACATAGCAAGACCCTATACCAAATAAAAATAAATAAATGAATGAATAAAAAAATTG